CCAGCAGTGAGGTCAACGGTAGAATAGGCGCACTTCCCGAACGTCCACAGGGGGGGAATAGTGACACGTAGACGTTGCAAGCTTGTGGAACTGGCTCCTGGACCATGACGTTGCCTACGGAACCTGATCGAACAAGAACGGGAAGCACCGATTTTGTCCGCGCTTGGGCTCGCTGGGGAAGGAGAGGAAAAGGATGTTGGCGACGACAAGGCGGCGGATGTCGAGGACGACAGCGTGGACGACGGGGAGGGCAGCGAGGAGAGCAGGAGGACAACGAGCAGGAAGACAAGCACGAGAGCGAGGACCATGACGCTGCCTACGAAATCCGCCACCGTGCCTTCGGCACGCAGTGGAATGCCCCACGGCTCATGCAGCTCTGCGAGGTAAAGGGCTTGTGGTTCTCAGGGGTTCTGAAGGGCCCCGACCCCCGGTTTCCCAGGCGGTCCTGGGCGGTCCTGAATGCTGCCGAAGTGTGTCGCCCGAGCTTTCGGGACGCTGGGGACCCCCAACACGGGCCAAGAGGATCCTAAGAGGCCCCAAAGACGGCCGAAGAGAGTCCCCAGCCGTCGAACGATCGGTCCAAGACGCCCTAGGCGGCTGCCAGACGGCCGAAGATGCCCCCAAGACGCCCCACGAGGCTTCCAAAAGGCCCCCCAGGAAGCAACAAAATCTGGATCCCCCTCCGGAGTTGGAGTGGCTCTCCGACGCGCCGACACGGCCCGAGAGGCCCCGGAGATCGCCCTGGGACGGCCCGAGAGGCCTCCAGGAGGGCCCCAAAGCGGCCCAAGGTGGCCCCAACACGCCCAAGAGTCGACCAGCACCGCCCCGGAGGCTCCCAAGACGGCTCCAAGAGGGGGCCCCGGCGGGGGACCCGAGCGGACATTTCGGGCCCTCGGCCCCAGGAGGCCCCAAGAGGCCCCCAAGAGGCCGCCAGGCCAAAGAGACCCCCAGGAAGCCTCAAAGGGTCCCCAAGAGCCTCCCAAGAGGCCCCCAAGAGGCCCCCAAGAAGCCCCAAGACTGCCCCCAAGAGGCCCCCGAGAGCGCTCCCAAGAGACCCCAAAAACCATCCCTGAGGACTCCGACCCACAACCCAGGCACGGTGGCGGGGTGTGCCGAAGGCCATTAGATATCCCATGAGGCCCCCACGAGGCCCCACAAGAGGCCCCTAGACCTTGGAGGCCCCCAAGAGGCCCCAAGGAAGACCCAAAAGGCCCTCAGGAGGCTCCCAAGAGACCCCCAAGAGGCTCCAGAAGACTCAAGAGGCACCCCCCTCTCCTCGTCCACCTGTTTCATATCCCTGTCCTCCTCGCGTACAGGGTCGGCGGCACCAGCCGTGAGACCTTCACAGTACCCATCGAGGCCTTGTCACCGCCCTTTTGAAAACTCTCCTCCAGATTTAGTTGCCAGAAGGGGACCCAAGAATCCTGGAATCCGCGACAGCAACAAACTCGTTGTGGGAGCATCCGCTCCCAGAGTGGCAAAGGAAGGGGGAGGTGAGGGTGAGGGGGGGTGCAGCGAGAGCGGGAGGGGGCGAGAGAGAGGGGAGAGGGGGAAGGGGAGAGAGGGAGAGGGCGGGGAGGCGAGGGAGTGGAAGGCGAGGGAGCCGCGGAGGAAGGAGGAGTACGGAGAGCAAGATGGGGAGGAAGAAGAGCCGCCGAGAAAAGAGAAGGAAAGAGAGGAGGAGGAGGAGGAGGAGGAGGAGGAGGAGAAAGAGGAGGAGGAGGAGGAGGAAATTGTTGAGGAGGACGGGACAGAGTAAAAACGGGACCAAAATTCGCCGGCCCAACGGGCCAGAGGCGTGCTAAGATCTCCGGTAACTGGTTAACAATTGTATTGTACTAGTTCGCGCGCGCGGGGCGGCCCCTGGGGGTCCCCCGGCGAAAAGTACCCCGCCCGCCGCCTGGCAAGGTCCCGCCCGGTTCAACTCAGAGATGGTTTTCCTTCTGGGTGCGGCCTCTCAGGCCGCCCTGAGCGCGCCAAGAGTGCCCCAAGAGGCCCCCAAGACTGCCCAAGAGGCCCCCGAGACGCCCAAAGAGCGCTCGAAGACGCCGAAGATGACCCCAAGACGGCCCAAAAGGCCCCCAAGACAGCCCAAGAGGCCTCCAAGACGCCCCAAGAGCCTTCCAAGAGGCCTCCGAAGAGAGCCCCAAGAGGCCAAAATCGTTGATTTTCATTGGTTTTTTCGATGTTTTTTGTGTTCTGGCTTTTTCGGCTTCCGGACGCTCCAAGACGGCCCAAGAGGCCCCCAAGACCGCTCCAAGACGGCCCACGAGGCTCCCAAGACGGCCCCGGAACGGCCCAGGAGGGCCCCCAAGACGGCCCAAGTGCCGCCCAAGACGGACCAAGAGGCCCCAAGACGGGCCCAAGAGGGGCTCAAGAGGGGAACCGAGAACTGAAAAATCGAGCCCTCCGCCCCAGAAGGCGCCCAGGAGGCCCCAAAAAGGCCCCAAGAGGCCCCCAAGAGGCCCCCAAGACGCCCCAAGAGGCGCCCAAGAGGCCCAAAAGAGGCCCCAAGAGGCCCCAAAACGGCCCCCAAAACTCGGCTAGCCCACAACGGTGCGACAATATGGGCCGGCGGAATGAGCGAAGCGATTAAATAAAGCCAGGATGTGCTAACCCGAAACCCCTCCTTACAAATCCCTACAAACATGCCTTCCGGGAATCGCAACCCGGCAAGACGACATCCAATGATGACCCCGTTTTGATAGACGAGCTGGCATCCGTCCTTCAGTACATAAACGGGCCCAGGGACACACACACACACACACACAGACACAAATAAACACTGTCCCCAGGATTCCCCCACATGAAATCATATTTTCTTAATGCTCGTCGTCCCCTCTACTTCCCACAATTCCCCATATCTTCCCGGGAGTCGACGATGGTTTGCGTCTGTGTGTTGTCCCCATCCTGAGTAGCCTGTAGGACATGCAAAAAGGGTAAAGACATGTAAAGTTCAGGGCAGTTTCCGACGGCAGCCCCACGTGATTGAGGTGTCGCCATCCGTCCGCGCAACTCCTGCACATGACTCAATATTCCTTGTCGATGCATAAGAGGCCTCCAAGGGGCCCCCAAGAGGCCCAAAAGAGGCCCCAAGAGGCCCGAAAAGTGTCTCCCAGAGGCCCCCGAAAGGCCTCCCTCGAGATCCCAACACGAGTTGGCATAGCGACCTTACGCCGCGGCTTACGCGGGCCGCCAGCGCGGCGCGCCGCATTGGAAGCGAGGGTGCCTACGCGCGAGCATACGCGGGCAGCTCACCCGTTCTCCTGCGTCGTTCATATGAGGTCTACAACGAGAACCCCATGTTGAGGTGGAGCCGCTGCACGGTCACAGGATTGCCGCACAGGCTGTTTGGGTTCTGGCCAGAAATTCTGGCAAATCCTCAGGCCGTCTCCCATGTTGAAGAGAAACCACCATCCACTCGAGTCTATCGGCGAGCCCAGGGGGAAGTGAGAATGGGCGGGCCTTCTCAGAAGGCTCGAAGTCCCCCGGCCTTCTGAGAAGTTTTCTAAGCCTTCCGCGAAGACACTGAAAACTTCTCAGAAGTCGCGAGGGGTTCTGAGAAGTCAGGCCGCCTTCTGAGAAGGCCGTCTCCTTCTCACTTCCCCCCTCGCTCGCCGCCGAGCAATAACGAACGTACGCGGCACCCAGGCGATTTCCCCAGTTTGAAAACACCGTCCGTGCCACTGTGGCGGAGAGCCACGTTTTGCACATATCGCCCGCCCATCTGGGTGACTGTTGCAAGCTTTCAAAGCGAATGTACAGTCGGACCTTGGACGGAAGAAACATCCCTCAAGAACATGAGGCCATCCGCTGGCCACAACACACAGAACATCCGAGGATACCCTCCCAAGGATGCACAAGAAGATCCAGCAAACACGAAGAACATTAGGATACCCTCCCCGAACAGACCTCGATCGTACTTCCTCTGTCCGACTGCACGCAGCGACAACGCGAAAACAACATGTTTTGCTCACGCTCACAGTTAGCAGCGCATATGTGACAAGCTTTTGAGATGAATGTGTGCGGCGATAACGCAAGAACCTTAATCATGTTGAAAACGAACCGTCCTACACCTGTGCAACTGCTGGAGTGCCCACGCTTCTGGATCTTACATGTTGTCAAAGTGCACAGGCATCGTGCTACCACACGGAGCACTGGATAAGGAACGAAGGGGCTTTTCTGGTCTGGCCACGGCAAGCCTCGACCACGAACAGGTCCCCCGACCTGCACCTAGAAGCGGCCCCAAAACAAGATCCCCTCCTGAACCCGAAGTGATTCTTTACTTCAGCGGCCTGACTGTATGAAGCGAAAGGCCTTGCCCGCCATATCAGCATGTCTGGAGTTGGCACGACGAAAACACGTTCCTTACGAGGCAGAAGGATTGAAGAGGCAAGCATCGCGCGTGCGCCTTGGAATCGAGCACTCAAGCAGATCCACCTTCTTCCTCCTCCCTCCCCTCTACTCCTCTGATTGTTTCCCCCGTCATTGGCGAGGAAAGAACGGGAAAGGAGAGGCGAGGGTTGGAGGCGGCTGGGGGGGTCTGAACTGGTTGGGACCCCAGAAAATCCGTCAGGATCGGGTGGGTGGTAATGGGGGGGGGACCCAAATGAGGGGTGAACAAGAAGCCCTGCAGGGGCCTTTAAGGCCCCTTCTGGGCACCAGCTGGCTCCAAAAGGAGCCCTAAAGGGCCCCTTCAGGGCCCATTTCTTCACCCCCAATGTGGGCCACCCGCAGTACCACCCGCCCGAGAATGAGGCCAAATCCGCTCAATATCGATCCCCAGACCTCTCCCAGAGTCCATCTGGTGCAGCGTTGCACCGCGGATCCAGTTTTTACGGCCCCAGGGCCCGAAAACGGCCTCTGGAGGTCGCCGGAGGCAGAACATCTTCCCGAACCCGGCACATCGAACCTGCCCACCCTTCCTGCTGGCCGGAACCAGAGCTGGGCCATCTCAGACCCCCAGACGACTCCAGGGCGAGGGATGCGTTTTTCTTCGCCTCCGAGGCCACCTCCGACACGCTGTGGAAGACACTGTACAACCGCCGGAGGCGGGGATCGACGTGCCAGAGCTGCGCGAGGCAGGGGAAGGCGGGGAGAAGCGAGGACGAGGCAGGAGGGAAACAGGAGGAAGGAAAGTAGAAAACAGGAAGGACAAACGACAGAGAAGGAAGGAGGACGGAGGAAGGTGTTGGGAGGCGGCGAGAGGGTAGGAGCAGGGGGCAAGGGCCACCGTTGAAGGACAAGTATGTGCAACATACTCTACCTCCTCCTCCTCCTCCTCCTCCTCCTCCTCCTCCTCCTCCTCCTCCTCCTTCTCCTCCTCCTTCGCATGACAGAGGGGGCCAGAGAACACAAGGCCAAAAAACAGCTGGAACCCAGCGCTTCACGTGCAAGCCCGTCCAGTGTTGAGGTAGGCGGGGAGGCGGGTTGAACTCGCAGGAGGGACCCAAACATCCGATGTCTTCATTTGCTTGACGCGGGGCCCCCCGAGCCCCGACCCGTTCCCGAGGCCCGGCTGGTCACCCCAAACCGTTTTCTGACAGCCCAAAGGCCCAGCGAGGGCCCCAGGGGCCAAAAGCTAAGAGAAGCATACGCCTTGACTTGTTGAAGATGCCGGGCGTCACGCGGAGGCAGGAGGCACGGGGCGCGGAGGCTGGAGGCGGAGGGCGGGGAGGGGCGGAGGCGGGGAGGAGACCGAGGGGTCGGCGGCTGCAAGGGAGGCGGACAGCCCGGGGCGGCGTGGTGAGGGGAGCACTGCACGTGTCCGAGGGGCTCCCGTCGCCCCTGTCTGCAGCCAGGCTCGCCCGGCGAATGCGCGCAGTGCCCGCACACGGGCCATCTGGCACAAAGGGGGCGGGTCCCGCGGGAAACGCGGCCTGGACCCCGGGGCCTGCCTCCGGGGCCACTTGTGCGTGCTGTGCCGTGCGTGACCCACGCCCTGGGCCCGTGGAGGGCCCCAGAAGCTCGACAACGGCGAAAAAAGCTCGGGGCTCGTGTCCCTCAGAACCCGTTTCCTTCGTGGCGACTGCCGCCCCTGGGCCACTCACCCTTCATGCTTCCGCCGGCTTCCGCTAGGACGGGGGACGGCGGGCCGAGGGGCGCAGGCAGAAGGCGGGGAAACTGGAAGAGCAAGAGGGGCAGCGGAGGGCCAGAGGCACGGAGGGCCCAAGGCGGAGCGGAGACCAGGAGGCGAGGGGTGGGGAGGAGGAGGAGGAGGAGGAGGAGGAGGAGGAGGCGGAGGAGGCGGAGGAGGAGCAGAGAAGGAGGATAAGGAGGAGGGGTGGAGGAGAGGCGGAGGCGGAGGCGGCAGGGAGCAGACCGAGGAGGGGGCGGCGGGCGGAGGGGGCGCGGCGCGGGCCGGACGGCCCCCCCCACCAGGCGCCGGCCGAAAACTGGCTGCCCTGAAGGAGCGCCGGACGGCGGCTCTCCCCGGGCGCGCGGCGAAGCGGGCGGCTCGGCCTGGGGCGCGGGCGGGCCAACGCGGCGCGGGCTCCGTGCTCCTTCCATGCCCCATGCCCTCCTCCCTCCCTCCTCCTCCTCCTCCTCCTCCTCCTCCTCCTCCCCTCCTCCTCCTCCTCCTCCTCCTCCTCCTCCTCCTCCTCCTCCTCCTCCGCCTCCCCCTTCTCCTCCGCCTCCTCCTCCGCTCCCTCTCCTCCTCCTCCTCCTCCTCCTCCTCCTCCTCCTCCTCCTCCTCCTCCTCCTCCTCCTCATCTCCTCCTCCGCCTCCGCCTCCGCCTCCGCCTCCGCCTCCGCCGCCTCCGCCTCCGCTCCGCCTCCGCCTCCACCTTCTCCTCATCCGCCTCTGTTTCTTCTTCTTATTATATATAAATATGATTCCTCCTCCTCCTCCTCCTCCTCCTCCTCCTCCTCCTCCTCCTCCTCCTCCTCCCACCCCTCGCCTCCTGGTCTCCGCTCCGCCTTGGGCCCTCCGTGCCTCTGGCCCTCCGCTGCCCTCTTGCTCTTCATCATCATCATCATCATCATCATCATCATCTCATCATCATCATCATCATCATCATCATCATCACACCACCACCACCACCACCACCATCATCATCATCATCATCATCATCATCATCATCATCATCATCATCATCATCATCAGCATCATCATCATCATCAGCATCATCATCATCATCATCAGCATCATCATCATCATCGTCGTCATCATCATCATCATCATCGTCATCATGATCATCATCATCATCATCAGCATCATCATCATCATCAGCATCAGCATCAGCATCATCAGCATCATCAGCATCATCATGAAAGACATCATCATCATCATCATCATCATCATCATCATCATCATCATCAGCATCATCATCATCATCCTCTTTTTCCTCCTCCTTCTCCTCCTCCTCCTCCTCCTCCTCCCCTTTCTCTCCTCCTCCTCCTCCTCCTCCTTCGGATATTTTGGCTCGATACTCGCTTCAGCTCGCTCGGAAAAGCACGGTCACATGTTCAGATATGCGGGATGCCAAGGTCATTCAGCGCAGGCTCAAGCAGCGTGGCATTGCTATCCTTGCAGTTCTGCAGATGGCTTATCTGGGAGTGGATTTGGCGTCAGGCAAACGGTTGGGCAGGGCAACTCGCAGGAAGCAGTTTCATGGTACCAAAGCTCAGCATCTCAAAGTGCGACAGTATGCCAGGGCCAGTCGGCGCTTCAAACTGCAGAAAGCGCGGTAGCACGGTACGGTCACCAAGTGCACGGGCTTCCACGTTCTTCGCTGGTCCAGCCACCTTGCTCGACATCCGCGCTCCTGGCGCTGATCCCATTTATGCCCTCCCTCGGCAATGTGTCGCTGAATGGCTGAAGGTGTGTCTGGAGGTTCCGCGGGTTCGCGAACCCATTCAGCGAGTCTGGCACAGCACCGTGGCTGCTTTCCAGGCTCGAGACCCTCAGCATCGAGTGCGGCACATCAGAGGGCAATTGTCTGCAGTTATTCACTACCTTTTGGAGGCAGGCTGGCACATACCCGAGCCTTTTCTATGGTTCCCGCTGGCTGGTATTCCAGGTCAGCAACATGGTTGGCAGTTCGATGGGCCTGAGTTCCAGACCATGGATCAGGCTACGGAGCTGCTGGATGCGTTCACGTCCTCTATTCAGCTCAGGCAGTGGCGATCGGCGGCCGAGTCAGCCTTCGGTGGCGGTGGGATGGAACACGGAGTCGACAATTTCAGCCTACGTAAGCAAGTATATCGGCTCGAACAGATACCGACAGTAGGCAGGCGCTTGGCACATCTGTTGTTGACAAATTCGGTATGCGGAGCGTGGACGGCTTCGCGGAAACAAAAGACAAGATATTCAACGCCGCCCACATGCCAGCGTTGCCAACAAGAGGCAGAGATGCCATTTCATCATGTAATGAGACGCTGGTTCAGCAGCATTCGAACTGTCCCAATCGCTGGTCAACAAAGCGTTCACGCAGGGAGGCAACTTCGAGTGCTACTGGTACCGTGGGTTCATTCCGTCGTACATGACAGCAGTGGACCCACCCACAAAAGAAGAATGCTGGACAGAATGCCTCTGGCGTTGCTGATACACACGATCCTCGACTTCGTCGGATAGGGTTGGCCGTGTCAGCGACTGAAGGTGTTCCTGGGCCCGCTTCGCGCTTCGTGTATGGGCCCCTCCCTGGAGGGAAGCAGACAGTACCCCGTGGCGAACTGCTCTGCTTGCAGGTGGGCATCAGATGGTCGTCAGGCCCCATGGTGTTCGCGACGGACAATGAGGAGGTATGCCGCGGCTGGTGGGAAGCACTCTACCAGCGACCCAGCGGCGCCAACCAGGACCTCTGGAGAGATGTGGGTGCTCTATTGCAGGCTCAAGGCCCAGCAGCGTCCAGCATCGCCGTCGTGAAAGTCCCCTCACACATCGACGGCGAGGAGGTGATGCAGCGCGGTCTCCCTGGATGGCTCATCGCTGGGAACGTGTTCGTGGGCCACCTGGCGGGGCTGGCGGCGCGGGAGGCCCGCGTGCCCGACGCCCAGCGCGCCCGCGTGGCGCAGGTGGAGCACGAGGTGGCGTTCATTCGGCAGGGGCGGCTGCGAGCGACGCTCGAAGCCAGCGCGCGCGATGAGAAAAGATCCCATCGATCCGCTCCCGCGGCACCCCGCATTCCCCTCCCCCCGCTCCTGCGGTCACCGCTGTGTTTAACTAGTCCCACGCTTTCTAGGATTGTGGACGGCGGTGTAAACGATGCAAGGGAACGGCCTCAGCGGCCGCCACGGAGGAGTTGTTAGGCTCCGAGTGCTTTGTCCCTTGAGTTTCAGACGTCGGTCATTCCAAGGCTTCCTCGGGGTAAGCGTTTACATCTCGCTGGGGATTGGGTTAATCCGGGTCACCAGATGATGCATCACAGTAGATTGTCTTTGTGGTATTGTGCGGCCTGTGGTTGCTATCACCAACGGCAACTCAAGAATCTGGCTTTCGAGTGTTTGGCCCCACCCCGTGCCCCATGTACCAAAACCCGACGAGAATACCTCGCTCGGATTGCCAGAGGCCTTACGCCTAAGGTACTCAGCAAGGCTGAGATAGCGGCGCGTGGGGCGTAATATTTGAACTCGCTTCGCGATCGGTCTTACCTTACCTTACCTTACCTTGCCTTGCCCTGCCTTACCTTCCCGTCCCTCACCTCTTCCTCCTTCTCGTCCTCCTCGTCCTCCTCGTCCTCCTCGTCCTCCTCGTCGTCCTCGTCCTCCTCGTCCTCCTCCTCCTCCTCGTCCTCCTCCTCGTCCCCCTCCTCCTCCTCCTCCTCCTCCTCCTCCTCCTCCTCCTCCTCCTCCTCCTCCTCCTCCTCCTCCTCCCCCTCCTCCTCCTCATTCCCCCCCTCCTCCCCTCCTCGGTCCATATCAACCCACCTGCTGCCGCAGACGGGGCGCCCCTCAGCGCGACGCTGCGGGGACGCCCACGTCCAGCGGCTCCCCGCGCTCGAGGAGCAGGCGGTGGAACTCCTCCGAGTTGGCCCAGCGGATCACCTCGGCCCAGAGGACACGGGGCCCTGGAGAGGACCCAAAAAACCAGGGCGCTGGGAGCTTTCCGCCGGCCTCGGGCGCCCGGGGTCCCCCACGGGCCCTGGGGCCTCCCAGGGACGGAGCAGGCTGGAGAGGTGGCCCCAAGGGGGGGACGCCCCAGGGTCCCGGAGCCGTGCCCCAAGTCGTGGAGGGGCGTGAAGAGGTGGAGCGGGGCCAGGAGTGGGACAAGGAGAAAATCGTTGGGGAAGACAACCTCGGCCCCTCAAGCTGGGATCGCTCCCCAGCCCCATCTAGGCCTAGGGCCCCCTCTGCGCACCCGCGAGTCAGGAGGGGAAGGGGGGGCGGAGAATGGGGAAGAGGATGATGGAGGATAGATAGATACACAGCGCTTGGGAGAGGTCGAAAGGTGAACGCACCAAACAGTGGGCGCTGAAGCAGTTCCGCCATCGAAATCGAGTTACCAGACTCTTTGGCCTTGATCTTGGCTAGAAGTGTTGCCTTCCTCTGCTCATGCTGGGGGGCTCTGGTCATTACAAAAACTTCGGGGGACCGTGAAACCACTGGAGATGGAGCGAGCCGTGGCCATGGTCGCGTCAAGCCGAGAAGCATGGAGAGTTTGTTCGATGAGTTCTCTCATCCTGGGGTCCGGACCTAAACCGCGACGAAACAGCCTGAAAGCCTCAGATTTTTCTTGACCGGTTTCTGGCACAGCTTGCCGAACTGGTCTGTCTGCCCCCCGCGCACTTGAGACAAAGAACTGTTGCTGTTTAAACCCCGTCGCACCCTCGGAACCGACACGCCCATCACGGGCCCCACAGGCCTTTTTAAGAGCCTGGCCCGACACAGCGACGAGAGAATGGCCTCGCGGATATTCGAGCAACTGCCTTATATAATGTGGAGTGCCTTGGCAACCATATGTGGACGGCGCTCTGACCCTGACGCAATCAAACAGCGCACACGTTGCACGTCAAGCACTGTACGCTGCCACCGACGTCAATTCACTTCACGACGTGACTGAATCCTAGACTGGACTGCACCGCGAGCCCATCCCATCCCATTCTCGAAGAGGGGCAGGGTGGCACGAGCAGCACGAACAAAGGCTGAGGCCCTAGTCCGAGCCAGCTCAACTGACGACAGGAAGCCTGGATCAGCTGGGGGAAAGCCAGAAAACCAGAAAGGGCAAGCCGGGCACGGCTACCAACGATCTTGTTAGCCTGGCCACAACGATTCGCAGACATCTCATTCGACTGAGGCGACAAGAGCGCGATGGCTCACGCCGCGCGCCGCAGGGGCCGAGGCCCCGCTCGCTGCAGGGCCCGTCCGCCGCCAGCTCGAGGCGTGCATCCCTTGGGATGAGCGACGGGAACTCCCGGGGCTGCCAATCGAGGTTTGACGTTCCGCACTCATGGAAGGCACTGGCAGCTCAGAGTCACGATCGGCGAGCAGACCACGTTCTGAAGATGGGGCCCGAGGAAGCAGCAGCAGCCCCAAGGAGGGGGGCAGGGATATCAAGCTCATCGCGCGCAGCCCTGACATCGGGCCGAGCACGGGTCCACAGGCGGCGATGCCGGGTGTCTCTATCGCCGCGCAATCGCACAACCCAGGCGCGAGATGCCCAGCTGCCTGCTCTCTAGCTTCTGTCCAAATGGCATCGCGCGCAGAGCGCCGACGTGGAAATTGCCGCTAACGGATCAATTTCTTTGCCCGAACAACTATCGAGCCGCGAACTAAATCACAAGGGGCACGAAAACCATCGGGGGGCCCGACGTGGGCCGCCAGGGAAAACTCGGCTTGTCCCCGGAAGCCATTGAGCCCCTGCAACATCCTGGAGGACACAAGCGCCACGTCAACAACGTTGCCCCAATGATCAGGCCAAGAGCACGCAGAGATTACGACCCAGCCAGCTCAACGGGGACAATGAACTACGCGAGCTAGGGGCCCTCGGGAACGGTTCCAATCGACGGCCTCGCTGGCTTTGGCTTGTTCTCAGAGAGACACCAAGCTGGCAAAACTTACCAACGCGCGCTCAGGTTCTACACAGGCAACCCGTGCAATTCGACTCCATTGCAGCATAGGCCCCGAGGCAGCACGCACATCCCATTCTCCAAGAGGACGCCTTTGGCACTGGCAGAGGTGCCACCGCGCATGGGCGCCCGGCGTCGGGGCTGGCTTTTGCGAGCAGCTCCAAGCTCATCCTCCGGAGAAACAACTTCGGACCCATTGGGCGACGCAGGAGTAACTCCCGCACGCAGAACCCCAACCAGGACAAGCTCAGGCTTCTTCTTAACAGCCTTAGAACGGCTCCTATCTTTCGCGCGCGAATTCGCACATCATGGAACCGACATTTCTGCTTACGCCTGCCTCCTTTGGTGGATCTGCGGGCGCCTGCTGAATTATCGATGCCAAGGTGAGTCCACGCTCCCGTGGCCATTGTTGGATGTAAACCTAGTCCCTGCACAACTTCTGCGAATAAATATTCGCCGGAAGCTACAACGGCAATATCGTCATTCAGGTTGGCTCCAATACGGCTACTGGCCACGCAAGAACCCTTGCCAGCAGTCACAACCACATCTAGCACCATGCCCCATCCCCCGACGAGGCCTGGATCCCCGGATCATCAATGCTCGAAGAGAAACTCACAAGCGAGGGCTAGCGCTGCCCTAACCAATGGCCTGTACCGCGCGCACTGTTTATACAGATGATACCGTTGTAGCAATCACCCGCTGGAAAGCCAAATTCAGCATGCACGGCCCCTAGTGAATAATGACGACGAATCATCCAAATACACGGACCCTACCACGCATGAAACTCTATGTTCATAAAAGCTGCGGGAACGTAAACGGCAATCATGCATCCCTCAGGCTAGCCAGATGGATCACCTCATAATACGCAACGTAACATGGCGATTTTTTGGCATTACCAATAAACATGAGCAGCCGCATCAGCCTCGCTGCGGGCCGCCTGCGCCCGCGCACTATCAACCAAACTCATCCCAGGTAGCCCCCCCCCCCCCCCAGCAAACCCGATCCAATGGCGCCGACACACACATCTTGCCACATGGGGCGGCGCAGCCGTTGCCAAATACGGCGCGTTCGTGGAGGCAAAACGATGGGCCGGCACCCTGAACCAGGTTCAAGCAACGCCGGCAAAAATCCACGGCGAGGCGGGAGGCCGATCGCCTCGCGGCATCGCCAAAGCTCAGCGAGCACAGCGAGGCCAGCATCGCCCAGCATCTGAAACTGCCGCGGGCGCAACTGACCAAGTGACCGCGCGATCGCCTCTGGAAAGCTTCGGATTGCAGTCCGCATTTTGTCCTCTGCGCTGAAGGGCGGGCGAAGTGCGAGGGGGGGCGCGGGTGGCGAATCGCAGACGCGTTGGCTCGCCCTCGCACGTCTAGCACTCGCGCGCCAAAGGCCCCCCCAGGCGCTGCCACGCCGTGGATGCCAAAGAAATAACGCTGCGCCTTGGTACTGATAAGCGCGCAGTCGACATGTGAAGCCGCAGTTGCCCCTTTCTTCTCACTCTTCGCGAAGCTTTCACAGCCGTCGGGGGTCGTCGCGATGCGCCCGCCTATGGCCGTTGCCCACCCTGAGGCCCGCAGCTTCCATGGGCCGTTGCCCCGGTCGCCAATCGCGGCCGACGAGTGCTGACGCGGCGGGGGGAAGGCGGCGAGCGCGACGAGCTTTCGCGGGCCCGCGCCGCGCAAGCCGCTGTCGCGGCCCAGGTATGCACTGGCAACGATCAGGCTGTAGCCCTTCAAGTGCCAGCACATCACGACCCCATCGAGAAAGTCGCGATGCGTACCCCGGCACTGCCCGCTCGCGGAAGCACCAGTTCTGGCGGCGGATCGGCACCGCGACGCAAGTGCCCCCATTGGGAGCCGCCGAGGGTCTTAGAAGACTGACGAGCCGGCGCGAACGAAACTTCGCAACCCATATTCTGCACCTCCCGCCGCGCACTCACGTAATCGGGAATTCGCAAGTGGGCCTCCTGAACTGCGAAGGCGCCGAAATTCTCATCCCCGCGGGCATTCGCGAAGAGGCCCTCGACCCCCTTGCCCCGCTCTGCGCAACTCCCGCCGAAGATTCTGCGCTCGGGAGGCCTGTGGGCGTTGGCATGGCCCCCCGAGCTCGGGAGGTCCTACTCGATGGTTCCTCTGGCGTTGGCCGCAGCAGCCATGGCCCTCGGACTGGGGCAGCGTCTACTCGTCGTCGGTGAGCGAAGCTGCGTCGGCCTTGCCTCCGCCGCTGCCTCTGCTGCCTGCGCCAGGTGCTGCTGGCGTCGCGGCCATGCCAGGAGGTGCATGTGCGCCTGCGCAAGCTCCAGCTCCGCTGTTTTTCTCTTCTTCGCGGCCTGCGTGATCTCCTCCTTGGACGTCTTGGCAGATTCCCAAGCATGGCTCAGGTGTTCCTTCAAGCCCTGCCAGTAGGCATTGGCACTAGCCCATTAGCTTTCGAGAAGCTACTTTTTCACTTCGGAGACCTTCGCCACTGCCTCAGCGTCGAGTTCTTCATCGCCTTTCCCGAGGTCCCAGTCAAACCCTAGAGATTCCGGACTGCCCAAGTCTGTGTCGACGATCGGCTGGAGTGGATTAGCTGGCGCAGGTGCGTCTTGAGAGCGAGCCGCTTCTGGTGCCGATTTGCTTGTCAGCGTCTGGATCTTGGCCTCCGCCCTGGGCGCGGCGCCTGCGCGCTCGAAAAGTTGCGTGCTGCTGCTTGGACTTCAAACTGATAGCCTGCGTGGTTTTTGCATGCTGTATCGTGCCACTCGTTGGCCTGTATCCTTTCCAGCGGCCGCGTTCTGTAGCTGCATGGTTGCTGAAGGCTCGTGCTCCTGCACCGAGGAAGCAAGAGAGCCAGCAACTGCTGGAAGCTGCTGGGTCGTCCCGCTTCCGATGCCAAGCGTGCCGAGGTTCTTCGCGATGTCGCGCAGGGCGTGGGCAAACTACTGTTATCGCTGGACTGCTGGCATTGTGAAGGGTCCTTGTATTCCTTCGGCCTCGTGACCGCCGCATTG